CTTATAAAGATTTATTTTTTCTTTTAATGTGATTTGGGTATAAAATAATCATTATATGCAAGCAGTTTTTTAAAATGGTTTTACCTATAAGTATTCTATTCATATCTATGAATTTAAACTTTTCTGAATAGTTCCTTCAATTAGGAAAAAATGCTGTTCTGAAGTGCTTTTCTAAAGAAACCCATCTCTTACTGCTTTTAGAAGTCAGGCTGAAGTTATTAATACAAATACCTCCAAATTTCAATTATATTAATTGTCATAGTAGTTTAAGGAAGTTCAAGATGGAAAAGACCTATTAAATCTATTTCACTGAGAATGAACACATTGAGGGCTTGTTTCCATGCATTTAAAATCATCAAAAGTATTGTTTTCATGAAAACTTAACGTGCAGTTTATCTATTCTACAACTCGCATTACAGACATGGATAACTTAAATTTGGTAAATTTCAGTATTTCATGGATTACTGTGAAAACAAACTTGAAACGCCTACCGCTATGATTTTTAAAATATTTACAGAGAAAAACCAAAAACTATTAACAAGACAGATTTCTTCATGACAGCAAAGTGCCAAATTGCCGAGACCACCTAGTAAGACTGAGTATATTTTACAGTATATCCCAGAGGAAACAAAAAGCCAATCCAATACAAAAAATTACACCTGACATTAAGTATTGCAAGTTTTTAGTCACTCCTTCTATTAAGTTCTCACATATCATTGAATGGATTTAAAAAACAAATGCTTTTGGGATAATACAGTCCAACATTTGCCAATAAACTAGTACTGAACAGCTAGTAATCTAAAGAAGTAATGTCCAACCTCTGTATTTTCCACAGGCCATGCTCATTCCCTCCTCACTATTCAAGAATCAAGAACGCTTGGACTGATACTCCCTCAGGCTAGAAGTGACCTAACAGACCAAGGAAAGTACCAAACCCCAGGATGGTTCTGCATCTTAATGACAGCACAGTGCCCAAATTAATAAATTCAGGGCTCCTGAGAAGAAAACTAAATGGCATCTGAAATGTGCTCTCTCAAGCCCCCCAGTCTTGGCCCCAAGTGCAAGCTAAAAAGAGATGCTGGATGCAGGCTCTGTAAAACTGCCCATGGATACACACCACTAAGTCTCAGGAATGGGATTGAGAATCCATTCACATTTGCAGTCCAATGTAAACTGATCCCATGAGTTGCCACCCAGCCTTCCCTGCCAGTGCAATAGTTAAATTACAGTTTATTTTGATTTGTCTTCACTGAGAAGGGAAGAATTATGATCCAGCCTGTTATAGGAAAAATTATATATTAAGAAGCTAAAAATTAGTTTCCACGACATGCTTAAGTAAAATGAGCTTCATGCCATCAGAGCACACCACTCATTTGCTGAGCATCTCACCTCAAAGCATATTCTCCCTTCAAAAGGCCTATGAGGTTTTGTTTTTCACTTGAGAATCTTCCTTTAGATGAGTTATTTCAGCATTTTGAACCAAGTTATCTTGAGGTAAATTGTGATCATTTAACAATCAGTACTTCATAAAAGTCAACGCATTTGTATTTAGCATCTTTTAAAAGAATTTGTGATTATAGATTAAACTATTTTTCAACTAAAAAAATCTGGAATCGAAAGTGGAAAAGGGGAAAATTAGTTTGGTGTAACATTTTAAAATATGACAGCATACTTTAGATCAGAATGCTCCTCAATGAATGCATAATATAAAATCCTATTGGATTATGGCTAAAATTAAATTAATCTAAGAGCTCATATTGTCTTCTTGTCATTTATGCTAAACTTTTGTTCCAACAAGAGTCTCCAGTTTATCGTATCTTTATGTCCAATTGGATAAAATAGATGCGGACAATAAATAAAATAACTGGAGGTCAGGAATTTTCTTTCTAGGTAATCCACAGTAATTTATAAGTATCTTTCTTAGGAAACAAATACAGTTAAGTATCTGAATCGCCACCACACTTCCCAAGATATCAATGTGCTTTATCTAATGAGCACACTAGACAGAACTACAAAGAAATTAATTCACAACCAAAATGAATGTTATTAAGTGCCAAACAGCTCTGCTTCAAATGACTGAGGGGATAAATGCAAATACAGTTAGACAAGCTGGATTCTGGTCGTGGTGTGTTTTCTTTTACTTAAATGGAATAGTAAGGCTTTGCTATCTTTAAGTATTAAAATTATCTTGTCACATTGAAATTAAGCAGTTTAGACTCAAATCTCAGGAATAATGCAAAAACTCAGTGAGTACAACCAAAAGTAAGTGCATTGTAGTACTCAATTTCATACCCTTTCCAAGCTTATTTGTTTTACCACAGCATACAGCAGAAAGAGTCAGAACATCACTGTCCTTTCTAGTCAAACAGACTAAAGACAGTTAAAACCTTAAGTATGCAGAAAAAATGATAAACTGATCAGCCAGATAAGCAACAAGAAAAACTGATCAATTCCAGCACACGGACAGTGTGAAGATGTTGCTTGGCCAGATCTGTATACCCTTTTCAGTAACCAAATTAGGACCATCCCTTTTCTAACAAAATTCTGTGTTTATCATATAGCTAGTCAGTTGCTACCACAGATGGCAAAACAAAAATCACTGCATTTACCATTGAGCTGTACACAACCAACAGAGCCAGGCAGCCCTAAGAAAGCTTTTGTTAAGAGCAGAATTTGGCAGCCTATCATCAGCTACAAAAGGAATTGTTCATGAAATCTTGAAGGTGTGCCCAAATTCACCATATCAGTATTTATTTTTTAGGACTTTAAGGCTTAGTTCATGCATATTTAAAAAGAGATTACACAACCTTCTGCAGTAAGGACAGCAGACAAATTCACTGCTACCATGCAGCAGAGCCATCCAACCTAAATGATTCTATGATTTTCTAAGGGTAGCTCACAACTGTCGGACGAAAATCACTAATATTAATTAAAATCAGCAATAACTTCAATAACTTTCAACTCTGCTTGCTAGAAAAAATGCAGTGCAACAAACACGCACTTAAAATAGCATGAGGCTGGCAAGGAAAGAATGAACCACTTTTAGCATACTTGGTATGTTTAATGTACTTTCGAAACATACACAGATACTACAAGGATGAGGGTGTAAATATCTGAACAAATACACAGGAGTTAGCCAAAAGGCCTGAATGACACAGCCTTTTCCTTTGAAAAACTGAGCAGACCTCTTGACTCTAGTTCAAGTTATATTTAAAACATGTTCCCTTTACAACTTTACAGTTTAGAATTATCAGTTCACACCTGTACTTTCTCAATCCCCATTAAAAAAATGTCATGTACAAGGACAGAAAAGATGAGACAGAAGTTATCTATTATTTAGACATCTTACTAGACATTGATGTAAACTGCATTTTTTTCAACCTAATGCAGTACACCAAAGCAGAGAGCTTAAGTGGTTGCCACAGGAAAACACTAGTTTACAGCTAGGAAAAAAACAGCAATTTTCCCAAATGCTGAGTTTTAGCAATAGTGTGCTAAGCAAAACCAGTTGCAGGTTTTTTTTGAAGAACAAATGCTGTAATGTGATACATGTATCAGATAGGTGAAAGAGTATTTTAGACTTCAAACCTAACTCACTATTGCATTACAACTCTAAAGTGTAGCATGTATCTCCAGCTGAGAAAAAAATGGCAACATCAAAGACAGTCTAGAGGAAAACGCTCAGTAGTTACAGATGTGACAAGTGAGGACCTACATATATGGTTGAGTTCTGAATTGTATGAAAACAATCTCTATCTTAAGCTGCATAACACTGGCAATTTAAACAACAGTGCACTTCAAAAATGCCAGCAATGTTGCAATTTTCCCATTATCCATTTGCTCACAATTCAATTCACCAAGACCATCCCTGCTATATTAAGAAGTAACATATACATGCTCTCTCTGCTGCCTGCATCCCATGCTTTGAGCTATATACATACCATTCCGATCTAATTAGAGCATCATGTTCTCACAAATCAGTTATCAATCAATTTAGTATCACTATTCACGCAGATAAATTTTAGCAATTTCTATTTCTGAAAACGCGACTGAAGTGATAAAAACAGAACACATATTCTACACCTATCTTGCACAGGAAAAAAGCAATAGCAAACAAAAATATCCTTGCTTACTTTCTTGCCAGGAATAGAATCAATAGGCCTTTTCCATCATCTTCCATGACTGACAAAATCTGAATCATAAGCTTCCTAACAACTTTATCATTACTTTTATCTTGACTCAATCAGCAAATCTAGACTGAGTTGTATTGGAAACAGGTATTTTTCAAATTCACCATTCTGTAAAACAGTTATCAGAAATACTCTTGTGCAATCCTTCTAAATGCATATTACTCTAAGTGAACAATTATTTTAACTGGAGAACATGTGTTTGCCTCCTAATTAAACAGTTAATCATTGGTAACAGAATTGATTCTATTCAAACCAACCACTGGGGGAAACATATAATGATGATTACACAGTGGAAGGCTTTAAATCAGCTTGCACAACTGTCTCCTTCCTTGCAATGGCAAGATACTTTAACGATCAGTAGAACACACAGATGTCACAACAATTTTTCTTCTATAGAAGTATGATTTAGGTAAACTAATTTGTATTATTATTAATAAAGCATACATATAGATTCCTTTTCCAAAGTTGTGTCCGTCCCCCCCACCCCCAGTTAAATCTTCCAATAATTTGAGTAACAGATATACTCTGTTGATAAGCCTATTGTGACTAAGTTTGCAAAGGGAGACTGAGTTACAAGGACATAGTATCCTTGAGAACACTTTGTTTAAAACTTGGAGCTCAAAGTCGAAACATACAAAAGCAGTTGCGATATAAATTGTTCACAGTATGTACTGCAACATGCAGTTTAACTAAACAGATTCACTGTTGAGAATGGAAATCCACACATAGTAGAAACTACATGAGAATGAAAATGATGCCACTTATAATTAAGCATAAAATTATTCTCACTCAGTAATAACATTCCCAAAATCCTTTCAAGTGATTTTTATATTTTATTGTGATCAGATAACTGCACGTTTTACAGCATAGTCACACATTGAATTTCGCTAGTCACAAACACATTGCCTTACACAATGATCTGCATCATTTCTGCTCTATACTACAAAGCCTATGACTGAATACAAAAAAAGTTTTACAAAAGAAACTGTTTTAAAGACTACAATAACAATAAAACCGTTTCCAGATAACAGCTAAAATTATAAAGGCATATCACTGTATATTTCTACTGGAATTTCTAAACAGTAAGGAATGAAGTAAGTTTTAGTATCTGCGACGCTTGTTAGGTCCTTCAAAGTTGCCCCCTGGGTTTCCTCTACCAAAGCCACCAGGTCCACCACTCACGGCACCTACACCACTCATTGGTGGCTGAGGAGTTTCAGAGCCCGTTCTACTAACCAGAGGTGAACCCATCTGTGATGGACCTCCTTGAGGGAATCTCTCATTATGCTAATACAAGTCCATTTGGAACATGCCAAATGTGAGTTACAATAAAAACCACAAGTGATGTTGTCATGAAGTTCAGCAGATAGTCCAGCAGAATCAGGATCACACATAGAGGGAAGAAAGGAGCAATTCAATTAGTTATTATGGAAAAAGAGCTGAAAATTAAAGAGTGCTAATGTTATGCTCCAATTTTGTAAAGTAAATACTTCAATTTTTAATTAAGACCAACTCTGGTACTGAATGTAAATTCATCCTTTCAAGCATATCTGAAGCAATACATATTCTCTATGTAACAGAAGAGACAGCACACAATTTTATACGTGAGCCCTCTTCTGCCTTACATACGAACTATAATGCTTCTCAAACAAATTAGACACAGAAATATTGTCAAACTAGGAAAAACAAAAACCAGCTTTTGTATTTCTGGAGACTTCGGGTTTATTCTTTCAATAGCAATATAACCTGAAGACTTAGACACACACATACCTGTGGATATTTCAGTCCATACTACCTGGAGTCAGTCTTTTGTATGGCACTTTAGGAATCTTTAGACTCTTAAAACCCAGTCGAAATAAACTGACACAACTAGTGACAAAATGCATAACTAGACTACACTTAGTTTAAAAAACCTTGATAGATATATATATATCTCTAAAGCTTAACCTGAAATATCAATATAAGATGAAAATGCAGTTAATGTTCCACATTTATTTTCCTTAGTTCTGTGCCTAATGTTAACCAAGGTGTATGTGCTTACAGATTTATCTGGCTATAGCAACTGAGACCTTAAACAGAAAACATGCATCTGAGCACTTAATAGTTCAGAATTTAAGCAAGTTTTTTTAAAATAGAACCCCACACGAAATTTAAAACATCAACCGAACATAACATAAACCATTAAAAACGTAGATACATGGTACAATCAGGTCTTGAAATCACTCATCATTCACCTGTTGAGAACAGTTACACTTTCAGAAGAAATTCCTTCTGCAGAGAGATCTACCTTACTGCCCAGGTATTCAGAGTCCAACAAGAACACTCAAGACTAGCACTTCATCTGTATGGCCGAATCGGAGAAGAAATCTTCTGAAAGTCTAACTCCAGTAATATCAGTAGAGCTCAACAGTTTTGAAGTCTCCTAATTCATATCTATATTATTTAAAAACAGCATTATATCCATATAGATAAAAATATTTGCAACTTAGATCTTGGCTATATATACATGCATTTTTTAAAATTTGACACTGAATAAGAAAAAAGTTACTTCAACAACTGCATGAAGATCTACTACTGCCCCAAAGAACCTTAAAATCTGCAGCACTGGTTAAAAAATGTTAAAAGAATTATCTTTAACTCTTTTCATCTTGTTAGCAATCGACATGAATTTCAACAAATAGCTTATCACATACTCCTGATCATTTTTATCATTTGACTTCTGGACAAAAAGTTAAGTCCTCTTTCCAACAAGGACCACTCTGTCCAGCCAACAAGAAAACTGCAGTAATTAACCAGCTACAATACAGTATTGGGAGAAAAAAAGCTTTTTTTAAAATGTTGTGTTCAAAGATAATCTATTTCTCCAATTCTCCCCAAAAAAGACTTCAGAAGAACGTTAAATTTAATAAAAGAAAACTGTATTTCTGATCTATAAAGCATATTCTCCATTTCTCTAAGTGGAAACTGAAATTAACTCTTACAGTGTTTTAGCAGACAGTCCTCAAAGTATGTCTAAAGCGTCTTTCCAACAGCAGCAAAAATACAATAAGGCTATGTCCTTCTGTAGGGGCCTGCCCCCCAAATTAAAAACCTTGAAAGTCCAAAATGAAGGAAAAAAGGTATCTAAATTGTCCTTCAGTAGTATGCAGAAGAAAATGGAAGTAAAAAAAAGTTTTTTTTAAAAACATGCATTTTGACGTGCCAGTATATTCACTACATTTCCATATCTGGAATGGCTTTTTGTAGAAAAACAACCATTTGAGATAGGTACTATGATTTACGATACCATGTTCTTTTCCTGACACCTCTTCTTAACTGTCTATATAATCACAAGAGAATGTTCCCAAGGTGACCAGTAACACTGTGGTCTTCAGCAAAAGCATCTCTGAAAACAGTATTCTGTGAAAAGCACCCCCACACACACCTTGTGAGACATGACACAAGTGATAAAATAAGCTGCTTCCTACAATGTGAAGTGAGATCCTTTCCTTCCAACTGGTAAAGGCCAGACTCTTCACATATTTTTTTGCTCAAAATCTCATTTTCCTCTAAGGAACAAAGGATTTTGTCCAAACTTCATTATACAGATTGCTCAATCGCAAACAGATACTGTTGAGAAGGCATATATAAAAAAAATACAGGTACAAAATGCTTCTGTGTTCCAATAAAGCTGTAACAGAATCACTGTTTATACTATATAGCCCTTTATATCACACCACCACTAGAACATTCCCAAATAATTACTTACAGAATAATACTGAAAAATACGTAAAAATCAGATTAAAAATTATATAGTTGTTTCTCTACATAAGGCATTACAGCTAGGAAAATTGACTGGCTACGAGAACACAGCAAAAATGGCTAGTGCTTTAACTGCATCCCAGTGGCATATCTGCTCTTGATAAAAAATTACAGATGTACACAAGACATTCTCTACCACTCTTGGCAACTGAGCAATATTATTTTTCCTGTATTGATGAGAGAGTTCTCCCTGACAACTGTTGGCATATTTATTTTCTAAATCATGTAACTATTGTCATAATCTCATGCTTTCAACACTGTTATAAATACAAAAAAACACTGAAGTTGCTTTAAAAAAATTAAATCGTTTACACAAAGATATCTTCACACTACATCCATTCCAACATTTAACTGTTCATCAAAAGCCCCAACAAGCTAATACACAGAATTTAGTTTCACAAAAGACAAAACAGCAAATGCCTAAATTTACAGATTACTTTGATATATTGTTCCTTCTTCATTTCAAAGTGATTTCCTTCTACCAATGAGTTTTTCATGACAGGTCATACATGCAGTTTTGCCACAAATGCTGTACATTCTAATCTCAATTTAAAGTCTCGTTACTGATCAAAGAACTCACCCGGTTCCTAAGGGAAGTAGGATTTTCATAGTAGTATCAAATAAAGATTTCCCTTCTGTGTCAAATTATTTGCATGAACAAATTTTATCAATTACTTTTAACAGATTCGTAACATGTTCTTACTCAGTGTGAAAATACCTTTGGTAACAAAAAAGGGCCATGAGACATGACAGCTATTCAAAGTAATTAAATTTGTGATACGTTACCACTGTTCCATTATCTGGCATCATTGGTGTTCCCATATTTGCAGCTCCTTCTGGTCCCATGGAAGGACCAGGACCCATTGCAGGGCCAGGTAAAGTTCCTCTGTTGCTCATATTCATACCCATCATTGGAGGAGGGCCTTGGTTACCAGCAGGTGCTGGGCTAAACGCATCTATGCAAAACAATCTACACTTAGAGCTGTCCTATCTTAATTTTACAAGAATAAACAAACACTTTACATATTTAAAAAGCCAAATGTACAAGACTTCCAATACTTGAAATAAAAAAAAAATCATTCTTTGAGACTGTACATTTATCTCAATCATCTGCTTTTAAACAGATTTTCATTAATTCCTATTAATTTGCATTACATAATCTGCCTCGTGTATTTGAAAATCCTGAACTTTACAGCTAAATATAGCTGTATGGTTTCTGCGCAGGAACTGAAGTGTTCATACAGCATATATATATATATATATGCAGCATACACCACAAATTAGCAAAAATCTCAAGTGATTTTTCAGTAGTTGGCAGCTATAAGGCAATTTGGTTCTTAGAAGATCATAACATATTAGACACATATTTGCAAGAACTGTTCTACCAGTATTATATCAATTCTATATAGTGTTACGGTCTATTAGTCTAATGTCTAAAAGCAATATCAAAGATGGTATTAAACTTTACACTAATTACTTGTAATATGGCACAAATAAATCTTGCTATTAAATGTAATTTATTATGGTAAAAGTACAAGAAAACTAAGGGCAGTTTTGTTAGAACTGAAAGTGACAGAACAGTCTCCTCCAAAATTCTGATTCACAGTGAGAGGTAGAAGAAAAGCTTAAAATTGTCTTTTGAGGAGATCACTTAGCTAGTATATTGAGCTAGGAAACTCCACTCTGCCAGTACACACTAAAGTACTGAACAGGTAGGTAAAATTGCCTTCGTAACATTTTCTCATGTTGTTATAAGAAAGAAAAAAGTCTGATTATATAAATCATTTACATCTGCTACTATGCAATATCATCAACTTTAAGACTGGTGGTGATGCTTTTTTTTTTCCCCACACAATGATAAACCACGCTTTTTTCCAGCCAAAATCATGCATCCAGATTTGACAATGGAAGACAACATGCCTTCGGAATCTAGCCCGTGTTTCAAGTCACGACAACATACACGAACATCAGGAAATCTGACGTTGCTAGACTAATAAACTTGTTATTTTTCTTCAAAAGATCAACCTCTCATCACAACTGTAACTTCTTTAGTAATGAATATATAAATGTACATCATTGTAAGCAGGTCATTTAGCACAGATACTGTACTATCACTACCTACAAGTACGCAAAACTGCATCTTTATTACCTGCTCTGAGCAGACATATCACAGCAGTCAGTGAAACCACTGCATCCAAAATACTGCTGCTAGAATTGCAGACCTGGGCTTGATAATACATGTTATGCCAACTGCAAGCTGCTTAGCAAAAACAATCTTTGCAACACAATAGCACACGTAAAGTGCTACACAAGTTTATCTGAAGTAACAGAGAAAAATCTTGTAATTTTGAAAAGCAGAACTCATTTGAGCTTAGTAATGAGAAACTTCCAAGACCTCCCCTATGACACTGAGCCAATACAAAAGTAAGCAGTCAGGTGCTTCCTACCTACCCACAAGCATGATTATTAGTTCATGCAGCAAGGTAGGATGACTGTGCTACACTTCAAGATAATTACATCTGAATATGCCCTAAAACTGTTATTTAGTGTCCATTCAGTGACTAAATATGGAAGGAAAAGGAGAAGTCTGAACTGCCAATATAAGGAAAAACCTTTATTTTCAGAGGCTAGAAGGACTCTGCAGGGCTATAATGACAGCAGTGCTTTGTGCTGGTAGTAGTGCCATTAACCACATGCAGCCAGCGCTCAATTATCTGTCCAGGTTCAGCAACAGATGGAAAGCAGTCCTAAGTGTTCAGGCCACAACACAGACACTGAAAAAATGTATTTTTCTGCAATCTGGAGGGCTGAAAAAGTACAGTCTAAGTGTCCAAACTGCACATGCCAAGGTCTGGCACAGCAGCAAAACCATACAGAGAGAGTTCCCCAATAAATCTTTTTCTTCCACATTGAGGAGTTTCAGCTGCACTTAGCATTACAGATCCAGTTAAGTGACATGACTGAGGCACACAGACCCTTCCCAGAACTTGTTTGCAGCAGAAAAAAAATGCAGAACTGCGCAGTCCCGCACTAGTCAGCCCAACACTAATTAAATCAATCACAGAGGTACTTTGCTTTCTATTAACATTATCATGCAGGTATTTCCACTACTGAAGATACTCCAGCTCCCTCCTGTATCACATGATGAAAAGTCACAAATGGCACTGGTAAAGGCCAGTTAAAAATAAAGTTAGAATTCCAACAGAAATGTTGAGAAAGGATGCTAACATCAACAATTAAAATGTCTGCTGCAGGGTTTTGGGATGTGGTTTTTTTTGGTTGTAGTGGTGGGTTGTTAACAGGCTGGGAAAAAAAAAAACCAAACACTCTACAGTGAGCTAACCTAAAATTCAGATACTGTGGCAACAAACACTATCTTTACTATGGATATTTTTCCCTTTTTAAAACAGCAGCTCACTGTCACTATAACTTCTTTTGGAATTACACATTTATTCCTAAAAGCATTTGTATCAAGTTTAAAATCAAGTCATAGCACAAAGCTTATAAAGCAAGACTATGATAAATACCACTGTTAAGCATTACAACTTGACTAGAAAAGGGCTGTAAACTGATTGCTATACATATTTAAAATCGGTACATAAAAAGTGTATCTTGCAGATCTGGACAACTGGCACAGTATCAATATTTACAAAGTCTCCTGATTCAATGAAATTTTCACATAGACTGAAGTAATATGCAAAAGTACAACAATAACATGAAAAAATCTAGTTACCATTTATGCTTCAGCTCATTATTTGTAGATAATCTCACAATGTCTTCCTTTAGAATTTTTTTTAAAGCTCTTCATCTTCACTGAAAGGAAAACCCTATTCCTATTTTGCAGCTATAAATGTGTCTCAATTAGAAAATGCAAGGAAATGGTGAATAATGTATTTTAAAATCTGGGCTGAGCAGATTCATTAGTCTATAAATTCACACTACTCAAAAGGTCGAGCAATAATGTTTACCAAGTTTTGTACATATTTTCAAATTTAAAATACGTAACAATAGTGTTAGCTTTCCTTTAAATTATCATCTTAATTTATTTTAAATGACCATCAGGAAGCTTCCAAGAGATGTATATCAACAATTAATCTAGTTTAGTAAGATTTGGTTTTCTTATAAAGAAATATTCTATGTTTCAGTCTTGTTTAAAAGCAGATATACTGGATAAGTAAGATTCCAAATTGTTTTAAGCCTAGATATAGAGAGCAAGCACCAATTATTAAGAATGTAATTTTTCTAGACTTCACAGTAAGTTTTTAGCAGTGATAGAATTTTAAGTAACAAAAATGAACTAAGAATATTTGCAAATACAGACTTGCAGTAAATTAGTAGAACACCAACCAAATCATTCATTAATCTTGTGTCAGGTACATCAACAAGAACTTACCAATTTTAAGCTCTACATAGTTTCACTGCATGCAATTACAGTCCCAACTTCCCTGAACAGGTAGGTAGTCCCTCCAAAAGAATTACCAGACACTTGCTGAACAGAAAACTACTCTTTTTTATCAAAAAATTTCTCAAGCATCACCTTTCCCTGCCTTTTTGTTTCTCTTAACTTGCACACCAAGTTTTTCTCCCACAGGCAGTCAAAACAATAACAAAGATATACTTTGGAGAAAAAAAAACCAGCTGTTTGGAACAAAAATTGTGAGGGGTTTTTATTTCCCAATACTGTTTACTCGTTTTTACTAGTAGTTGTCAGTAATTAATAGTGCTTGAGTAACATGTACAGTCCCAAAGAAAAAGAAATTTTACATGACAGAAGCCTTTTTCCTTCAGATCCCTACCTCCCATGTTTATTGCTCCACGAGGACCCATATCACCCATTCTCATTTCCTGTTCTCTCTGAAAGTAAACATAATTTTCATGGTCAACCTATCATTCTTCGAACTTAAAACATTCCAATTTACTCCATGAAAATAAAAATTTCCGAGTTTCAAAATTTTCCATTGATTACAAAAACGTACAAGGAACAAAGTTAACTATACTCCCGTTTTTATAAAGTCAAAGTAATAATAAATTCAATACAGCAATGCTGTACATTTTTGCATAATGCTAAAGGTTAAATATCACAAGTTTCACTTATCAGATGCAGTGAAGTTTCCAAGTAGTCATGTGATCAACTGCAAATTAATCTGTCTTACACATTGTTTTTCATTAATGAGAAGCATATTTACATTTTAACTGTAAATAAAGAGGTCTTATTACAGAATTGCCTAAAGGCCATGGTTCAGTAATACAGTCAATCTGGCTTCATGACTCAAAAACGCTTGTGTTGATTGGAAATCAAGCTCTGATGTGTTATATTATAGCACATAAACTAAATCTGCCAGTTCATCTCTCTTCAAATAGTTTTGACATAACTTGGTGGTGATACATATTTTGATAAATGATACCATGCTATTGCTATGTCAGTTCAGACACTGATCATCCTTTTGAAACCAGCATAAAATGTAGTATCAACATAAACTATGTAACTGCATTTAAAGTACACAGACAAATAACATGACAAACTGATCCAGATTCAGTTGATCACTCATCCAACAGCAAGAGTTCTGACATTACTGATCATGAACCACGGCCTGCTGTGAAATAATACTCAAAAGATAGTACCCAGAGTGGGAAAAATCATCACTTAGGGGAAAACAAAGTAAATCTATCACAGATAATTCCAAGGTATTTTAGTATTGTTGTTTACATCAAAAGGATGAAATAGAAACAAATTCACAGTACAAAATGAAACTAATGAAACAGACCAAAAATTTTTTCTCATACATTTTCTGCAAGAATGTTAATGTATATTTCACAAGTGAACACACATGTGCTGAGAATAAGCATATGCAAAAAAATTTACCTGATTCTGAAAATCATTTCACTTATGACTTAAGAGCGTAAGTTCAGATGCACTTTGAAAACAATTCCATATACTAGGAAACTGAACCAGCCTTGCTAAAATCAACCTTTAAAATTAAATGCTAACCAAGTCAAAATACATTCATAGTATTTTTAGTTTCACAACTCCTTTTCATTCAATCACATCTGGGTTGCCAAACACGAGTCTTCTATCTTCACACACTTAAAGCAGCAGACACCTCCATTTGACAGAACCGAGTCAGTTGTTTTGTAAAAACACCCTGGTTTGGGAAAATGTCGTAAGATACATGACAAAAGGCTCTCAGGTCAGTAACTGTTTCTTGTAACTCATGCTAACCTAGAAAATGTACTTAACATAGGAAAATTCTACACTATTTTCAAAAGAATATGGCTTAGTGTGGAGAAAAAGCGAGGCCTTGTAACTGAAGGACACAGGCAGGTTTTCAGGTCCAGCTATGAAAGGCCACTGACAAACACACTAAGGAGGACCTCTTCTGACCCTAGAACCAACGTTCAACTTTTATAACCGAACATCCAACTACTTTGTCAGACCTTTCACAGTAATGTCAACTGACATTTTAAATAAAATCAGCAGCCCTGTTAGAATCACTCATACCCATAAACTGATACCAATAAGATAGCCACAAAATCAGTATATAACGTTGTTGATACTAGCCTGCTTTTACACCTCAACCCTGACATGAAGAAGTGGAAGGAAAAGTGATGTATCATCCCTAACATCAGTCTCTGGCCCAAGATGGTAGAAAAACACTGTGGCAATCAGTTTACATCAATCAGACTCTGCATGCACGCATGCCTGCATACATGCATGTGTGAAAACAAGACATGTTACAAACAGCTGTGAGATACTCTTCAGCTACAAGGGAAAGTACCAGATTTTCAATTACTGCACATACTTACTTGATGCATCTCAGGTTCAACTGCAAGCTGGGGTTTTTTTGTTTGTTTTTTTGTTTTTGTTGGTTTAGGGGTTTTGTTTAATGTCAAATGTGCCATATAAGGCAGGGCTGAGTACAACATCATCTAGGTAACAATGTTAAGCACAGAGCAATAAAGCTGTACTAGTTACTAGAACTCGTTTTCTTTGCAAAGGACAGAGGCATTGGCAAGCTGTAACATACACTTTATTTAAAAAAAGCACACTACACATCCTCCTAGCAATAAGTCACTGTTTCTCAGCTTCAAATGCTACCAGTCTTCCGTTAACAAGAAGTACAAGGGAAGAGAGGGCCAGAACCTGCAGTTTTTGTTTTTTTAGTCTAGTCTAACCTTTGTAACAAAACCCAAGTAATTACTTGCCATTTTGTAGCTTTAACTTCGGTGTTGAATTATTACCATATAAAAAAACATTACAGCTATAGACTCAAGATCCATAAATGGGCCTTATGATCTCTGTTGCTTGTTAACATACCAACATGCCTACAAGAACTATTATTATTCCT